TTGAGAAGTGTTGCACATCTAGAGCAGGTAGTTTGCACAAGTAGGATGTCTCTTTGAGTAGTCATTATCTGGTGTTTCTTGCTGTCGTTAACTAATTTCCTTTTTGTATCTAGCTGTTAAATCTGCTAGATGTTGTAGTCCAAAACACAGAAAGCAAATCAAATGCGCGTGAAGAACCTGGCACATCCTCTACAGAGCAACTGACTGGTCCTCCAATCCAATCTGCTGCAGAAATGAATACTGAATCTCATGCAGCTTCATCTGAGGTTGAGGACAAATCTGGAGCATCGTCCTCTGTTGCAAGCAGAGACCAAAGTACTGAAAGTATTCTACTCAGTCTACCACAATTAGAGCTTCGACGCCTGTGCTCATTGCTTGCCAGAGAAGGGTAAGCTAGTTCCTAATCCTGTGATGTGTATTTGAAATTGTAGATACTATGGTTTGATGTGACAAGTTCTGTAGATATTATTTCTGTGAGACACTCCTTAATTTAGAGACTTGTGTGTTTGCCAGCAGGTTGATAATACTTTACTAATTTTGCACTTAACATATTTTCATTCTTGTTTTAAAAGTGGGATCAGTAAATTAACTGACTGCTTGGTGTGACGGTCTTGTCAAAATTTCCGTGCCTATGGCTTCTATTTCAGGCATTGAATTATCTGTTTGGTTGTACATGCACTTATTTGATATTTTAATACTTTGCTATTGTCTTCACATGACCAAGTAATTTTGAACCTTCAGTGGGTTATTTTTACTCGAGTCTCGCTGAATAATGTATTACTTTATTTGTTATTGAAGCTTTTTAATGCTTTCTTCTTTTATCAGTCTTTCAGACAATGCTTACTCTTTGGTAGCTGAGGTACTGAAAAAGTTGGTGGCCATAGCTCCTGCCATTTGTCATTTATTTATTACTGAGCTTGCTGGCTCTGTGCAAAGTCTGACCAGATCTGCGATGGATGAGTTAAACAAGTTTAGGGAAGTGGAAAAAGCACTGCTCAGTACCACTTCAACTGATGGCGCTGTGATACTCAGGGTTTTACAAGCCTTAAGCTCTCTTGTTGCTTCAATTGGCGACAAGAACAACGAGAATCAAATTATTTCTGAGAAGGAGCACGGTGCTACTATCTCCCTGGTTTGGGACATTAACACAGCTTTAGAACCTCTATGGCAGGAGCTAAGCACTTGCATTAGCACAATAGAGAGTTTTTCTGAAACAGCACCCAACCTGCCTCGTTCATCCATTGTTACCTTATCTAAACCTGCTGGAGCAATGCCTCCGCTCCCTGCAGGCACACAAAACATTTTACCGTACATAGAGTCCTTTTTTGTGATGTGTGAGAAGTTGCATCCTGGGCATTTGGGTGCAGGGCAGGAGTTCAGTATTGCGACAGTTCCTGATCCAGAAGAAGCTACTGCATCTGCTATGCAGCCAAAAACACCTACATCGGCAACAAAAGTTGATGAGAAGCACATTGCTTTTGTAAAATTTGCAGAGAAGCACAAAAAACTTCTTAATGCTTTTGTTCGGCAGAATCCTGGACTACTGGAGAAGTCTTTCTCCATCATGCTGAAGGTTCCTCGTTTTGTTGATTTTGACAATAAAAGGTCATACTTTAGATCTAAGATTAAACATCAACACGATCATCATCACAGTCCTCTGAGAATTTCTGTGAGAAGAGCTTATATACTTGAAGATTCATATAATCAGCTTCGCATGAGGACAACTCAAGAATTGAAAGGGAGATTGACTGTACATTTCCAAGGGGAAGAAGGAATTGATGCTGGTGGACTTACTAGGGAATGGTATCAGTTACTGTCCAGAGTAATTTTTGACAAGGGAGCACTATTGTTTACTACAGTTGGCAATGAAGCAACATTTCAGCCAAATCCCAACTCTGTTTACCAAACTGAGCACCTCTCATACTTCAAATTTGTTGGGCGAGTTGTGAGTATTTTCCTTCTTGGTTCTGTTTGCTTGAGTCATTTAATTTAAACAATAACTAATGTGCTTTATGTAAATATCCCAGGTTGGCAAGGCACTATTTGATGGTCAACTTCTTGATGTTCATTTTACACGGTCCTTCTACAAGCACATACTTGGTGCTAAAGTGACATATCATGATATTGAAGCTATTGATCCTGACTACTTCAAAAATTTGAAATGGCTGCTTGAGGTGCAGTGCTTTCTCTGTTCTCTGTGATTATATGGTTAAAAGTTTGCTCTGCTCACGTTTCTTGTTTTGTGTAGAATGACATAAGTGATATTTTAGACCTTACATTCAGTATTGATGCTGATGAAGAGAAGTTGATACTTTATGAACGCAATGAGGTATGAGTTCTTCTGCGGCAATTGAATTTTAAGCATTTTTGTTACTAAGGCTCTGATTGCAACTTTTTTAATGCAGGTGACTGACTATGAACTAATCCCGGGTGGACGAAATATCAGAGTCACTGAGGAAAATAAGCAACAGTATGTTGACTTGGTTGCTGAGCATCGGTTGACGACTGCTATCCGTCCTCAGATAAATGCATTTTTGGAAGGATTCAGTGAATTGATTCCGCGAGAGCTGATCTCTATTTTTCATGACAAGGAACTTGAGTTGTTAATTAGCGGTCTTCCAGACATCGATCGTATGTTTCACTATTTCCTTTGCTTGTTAATTCATGTGGTAATTCTATCTTAGATAGTTATTGTCAATATCAAGATAGAGTTGCTTCTTACAATTAATTTACCCCTTGCTTTGCAGTTGATGACTTAAGGGCAAATACAGAATATTCTGGATACAGCCCAGCTTCACCTGTTATTCAGTGGTTTTGGGAAGTTGTTCAAGCTTTTAGCAAGGAAGACAAAGCTCGCCTTCTTCAATTTGTCACTGGAACCTCAAAGGTAGTTTGTTGCTTTCATTTGATTATAGTTGCATGTTAAATGTCTCCTGCAATCATCTAACAAATCTTTGTGAACTTCTCCAGGTGCCGTTGGAAGGGTTTAGTGCACTGCAAGGAATTTCAGGTTCCCAGAAATTTCAGATCCACAAAGCTTATGGCAGTGCTGATCACTTGCCTTCAGCACATACATGGTAATTATTTAATCATCTGAAACTAAATTATGATTGCCCTCGTGATGCTGAAGATTTCTGCCAGTAAAACATCCGTGTTGCTTCTCCCAAGTTACTCTAACCTTCTTTCATTTATGATGCCATTCTAATTTACCTGTATTGCTGAAGATTCCAGTAGAAGTCAATGTTGCTTCCTCTTCCAAATTTTACTTCTCTTGCTTTCCTTTTTATGTGCATCCTAATTTACTCAATTGAATTGACCGCTCCTCTCTATGAGATGGGCTTTCTTATCTGAGTATTTCAATTAAATGTTGACTAATATTAGTATTAACCTAATCCTGAATCACATTTCAACTACTAACAGCAAGTAAAAACTTCCTTCTTTGAGATCGGAGGGAGTGTTGTGAATTCTACTTGTATTTCTTCTGTACTTGTTATACTGTGAACACTTCTTAACTATTATTTGCTGTGTGCAGTTTTAACCAGTTGGATCTACCAGAGTACCCCTCTAAAGAGCATCTGGAGGAGAGACTACTGCTTGCCATTCATGAAGCCAACGAAGGATTTGGATTTGGTTAAAACACTAATGGGTGTCTGAATTAGATTCTGTAGATAACTTCCATGTTAAAAAAGAGATTTTTTATTTATTTATACAGGAGAACAGTCTAAGGGCATTTTAAGTCTGTGAGATACCTGTCTATAATGCTGTACAGTCTATTTGCTATGCCAAATGATCCTGGCAGTTCTTTTTTTGGCAATCGTTTCTTTATCTTCTCTTTTCCCTTTGTTTCTCTACTTTCTGCTCGTCTTTGTCGCTGTTGTTGCCTGTAGGAGAAAAACATAAGGCGTTACAAATTTCTTACTCCCATGCTTGCTATTCTGAATGCTGCTGTGAGAGTAGACCATTCCTTTTTCTATGCGATGTTCTCATTATTGTCGTTCATCAAGTACCTTAAAGGTCAAACTGCAACACAGATCAAAGACTATCTGTAGTATATATAACTAATGGCGTGACATTTTCATAGGGACATGTAAATTACAATTTCTTGTGTACTTGCACTACTGTGCACTATGATAAGATGTAAAGTAGGTGTGGACTTTTGGCATAATTACTTCAACTTTTGCTGCTTATACTTTGGGTAGTTGGGTTCGGCCAAAACCTAAATTCATACCCGAAAGTTTAAAGTTTGAAGAGCCTGAAATTTATAATTTTAGGACTGATGGTAGGCTCTCTCGATCTGAATTTAAACTTCATTCATTTGTGATCGAGGAAGGCATAGAATTAAAAAATTATAAATCACTTGTTTTAAATGAGTTAGGTGTCTGGATCAAATCTCGTGAAGTACGGGAGCTAGAAACACAAATTTGTGCAAGTATGAATGTCTTTATGATATGTGGCCAAATATTAATGAAGGTTGTCAATGATGTCTTCAATTTAAAGAGTTAAGTAATTTTCGCGATACTTAGATAAATTCAAATAACTTTTCGCAATAAATAATAATGTAATAAATTTAAAGACAAATGACTATTAATAAAACGAAAAAGTAACCATGGTACTAGAGGGAATATTTTCTACAATATATCCTTCTTCTCTTTACCCTCTCGTGTAATAGAAAAAAAGAAATTAAAGAAAAAACAAATGCTTTGAAGAAAATTTACGTTGTACCTTAAAGTTGATGCACCTACCAAAATGCAATAATTGCTCTTCAGGAATTTTCTTTTTCGTCGACATGTGAGTTTGATATGATTTATTTTTTTCGAGTCTCAAATATGAAAAAAAACTTTTAATAGAAAGAACTTATTCCGAATTCATTCAATGTGAATTAAAATTATTCGTTTCAAAGCGAACTTCTAGTGGGAAACCAAAGAGTAAAGGTAGTATGAATTTATTTTCTATTTTTGTTTTCCTATGGATAATTGACCAAACATTGACTCCTTACCCTGAAAGTTTCTTCCTTTTTGCCCTTTATAATTCCCACTGTCATGTTTATTTCCCTTTGCTTTCCCCAAAACCAATAAAATAAGACATGCATGATTTGTAAAAATAAAATAAAAATTGGTTTAACAAGGAAAGCAAGAACTTAGACACATCACTTGGTTAGTGACAATGGGTTTGATCAGCTTTCTTCTGATTTCAGCTAAAATTTTGCTCTCTTGGTAAGTATTATCCATTCCTCTCCCACCAAGTCTTCCTCTTTCTTGATCAAAAAAAATAATCTTGTTTTAATTTGTTGATCAAAAAAGATAATCTTGTTGTTGTTTTCTAAGATTTTCATACTAAAGACATGATGGGGCTAAATAATCATAGGATGATTTTGGATTTTGTTAATAGTTGTAGCACATTGTGCTCTTGTGGGTTGTCAATTTTTTGTCCTATTTTTCTGGTATTTGTTAAGCCCCTTTCTATATATACACATGTAGAAAGAGAGAGAAAAAAATTAGCCTTTTAAGTTTTGTCTTTGATCAACTGCTCTTGACTTCCATATATCTGATTCTCTCTCTTTTTAATTTTTGTTTTTTTGCTACAGTTCTTTCTGGATATTTTGCAGACCATCAGTGACATTGCTGTGTCCTCTGTAAGTTGGTAAAAAGAGAAATTAATATTTTTTTTCTCTTGTTTGTTTGAGATTTTGTTGGATATGTGAATTGGGATATTTAGGCTTTTGAGTTATGTTACATTCTTGATAAAAACAGATATGCATCAATTCGGGCGATAGAGAGTGACAAAGAATCCAGCTACCAAAAGTGTCTTCAATATTGGGTCCTATTTGGATTAACCACAGTATTGGAATTGACTCTTGCAAAGCCTTTGACAGGGTAATTTTTTATTTTGCTTATATCCAAAGACATGTCTTTAGAATTCTTATATGTAAGTTGATACCTTATGATATTGGTGGTTAAACATCTTAATGCTTGGTATTATGAATGCAAGTCAGGTTATGGATTACTATAAGAGACGGAATTGCATTGTTTGTTAATCTTGGGAGCTTTGGTGCTTTATGTATTGTTACTTTTGGTCTCCTATGATCTTATTCTTCGATTTTAGTGTTACCTGTTTTTTTTTTTTGCTTTAGTTATTGTACGTTGTGTTGTTGCTACTTGTTCTTTTCTTAGTTGTTTTCAGTATTGGCTTCTTCACTACTGTATTTGTTTTACTTGTTTTTTGGATATGTTTTTCTTGAGCTGAGGGTTTATCGGAAACAACCTCTTTACCTTCATAAGGTAGGGGTAAGGTTGTTGTGTACACACCAGACTCCAGTTGTGGGATTACTTTATGTTGTTGTAGCTATGGTGCTTTATACTAAGAATTCTACTTCATTATAGCAAGCGTTGTGTAACGCTTATGTTGGGCATATATTTGTTTTCATAAATTGTTAGTCATTGATGAATACTATATGGCATAAGAACTACCAAAAAAGAAGCCAAGACTTATTTTAGGACTACCATTTCATTCATTCCTTGGATGAGTGAGAGAAATATTCAGCATCTGCAATTTACAGTGATGCCATCTTTTTTTGAATGAGAAAATGTATGGATTTATATGTTAATAAATACAAATTCAGAATCTTTATTGCAAGTTGTAGTTGAGTTTTTGGTTGTTCTTATCGTGCTCGGTTCATGAGTCTCACCAAGGGTGTCTCAAACCTGAAGGACATTTTTCAACAATAATTAAGTCTGACCTAAGTGTGTTGATTTCTTCAGGTTCTCGTTTTGGCATTATGCAAAAGGATTAGCATCCCTCTTGCTCGTACTGCCTCAGTTTGGTGTTGCTTCTTATGTGTATATGAACTTTGTTAAGCCATGTCTTTCCCCAAATCCACTCATAGAATATGTCACAGAAAAGAACGAGTGCATGCCCATGGAGCGAAGTTGCGCAGACTCTTCACTTTCAATGCCGCACCCGCGTCGGATTCTCCAAAAATACACTACTTTTGGAGAATCCGACACACAGCTGTTGACATGTTTTAAGAGTCCGAGTAACATAGTCATGGAGTGCAGTGATTATGTTGCTGCAGCATCCCGACATGTTGAACAGGATAAAAAGGACAACCTGCAAAGTTTCGTTAATTATGAGGTAATCATAGTTTTCCCCTACAAACACCTCTCCTATGATCTTAAGACAGTGACATGTTCATGAACATTTTGGTTATAATTCTGTTTCAGGCTGAATCTTCTCCTAAATGTGATCGGACAATTTATCCTAAGAAAGTTCAAAAGGACTGGAGCTGCCCGCTCTGTCTGGTGAGCGTCTCCAGCGAGAAATGTCTAAAGCAACACATCAAAGGTAGGAAGCACAAACTGAAGGAAGACGAAGAAAGGGAACATGAAATGATCATGGCAAGTAAAGAAGCTAAACTTGCTTCAAAGTTGGAGGGAAATTATTTAAAAGATTTACTTGAGAGTTTGAACCAGATAAAATCTCTTAAGTTTGTGGAATTAAGAGGCTTTAATTTGCCTATTAGAAGACCATTTAGGTTCTGCACTTGGAAAAAGCCCAAGCCTGGATGGACAAAGCTAAATACAGATGGATCTATAGACCGGAAAAGAGCTGGTCTTGGTGGTTTGCTTCGTGATTATGAAGGTGCTGCTATATGTGCTTGTGTCTCTGAAGTTACATGTGACGATATCTTCTTGGTTGAGTTACTGGCTATATGGAGAGGTCTTATGCTTGCTGTCAGTATCGGGATCAAAATGATATGGGTAGAATCCGACTCAATGAGTGCAGTGAAAGCTATTAACAAAGAGCAACCACATAATCAGAAAGCTGCTAGGTATCTCCAACACATTTGGAAAATTTTGAACAAGTTTCAGAAGTACCAAGTCACTCACTCGTGGCGTGAAACAAACCGAGCTGCTGATTATTTATCAAAGATGGAAATATCAGGAACTGACATTGTTATGTGGCCTAGAGATTTCCATAATCCCCTTTGCAAAATTATTGCTGAAGATGCTGAAGGAAGCTTGTACATTAGACGATAATCCATAAGTCTATCAAATGTGGCTCGGTAAAATTATTATATACATCAGCTTTTTGTTGCTAACAGAAGACTACCACCTGGAAAGTTGCAGGCTTGCTGTACATTATAAGGTAAGTAATTTTTGTTTCCTAAGTGTCGGTGCCAACCTGTACGCACCTTGACTAATCCACTGGGTCAGTACCAGTTAGTAGGTAATGTCCCAGTTGCAAATATGTTCAGTAATGCATCTTGTCTTCTGATGTGCTTCTTGTAATTAAGTGTTGCCTTTCTTGCCTTATTATATTATGGAAGTACAATGTTTATGAATTGAAAGTATCAAGTATTGGTTAAAACTTCCAACTTCTATCTAAATATAACACAATCTGTCATATGAGTTCAGTCTATCTTATTCGTTCTTATCTATAGATAACGGAAGAGAGAACTTCCAACAAGGAAATGTACGAATATGGAAACTTCTCTGCCATTTGGAACGGAAAAACACAATCAAGCTGGAAATATCTCATGCATCAAGCTTTACTGTTCTCTTTGAGTACTTGTTATAAAAATCTCATGATTAACTCTGCCTTTGTTATATACTCCTCTCTTTCATAGTTTTATTACGTTGCGAAACTAAAATCTATTTTTAATATATGGACCAAGTAAAATGAAATGGAGAAAGTGCCTTAGAACAAATTAAAAGTCAAACTCAAAGTAGCAGAATATCTTGTATGAATAGCACCCGGTAGCCAGTTTGCCCTATGCTATATTCAGCTTTCTTAAAATTCTTTAACTTGTAGCCAGATATTACATAAAAACGTGAAAATCAAAGCACTGCATAATCTTTTTTTGTGATGAGGATCTACAGCAAGATGTATATAATGCACGTCATGAACTTGAACCTTGTCACACGATTTGTATTATAAAATATAAAGTTGTGAAAAAGTGTGTTCCATGTTTAAAGTGCTGTGTTAGAGTCTAACTTATGCTATTCAAACTTCATATTTAAGGTCTGAAGGTAGGCATTGATAGTTCAAATTTCATACGCGCGGTTTGAAACTTCAAAGCTTAAACTCTGAAGTTTGATAATTTGTTAAATGCTTTTTTAAAAAAAAAAAAAAACTGGCTATATTTTAAACAATACCCTTAAAATCAGTTATTTGTGCCAAAAAGTAAACTCTTCTTGGGCCAGTGTAGGTAACACAGCCCAACGAGAATGAGGATGATTTTCTTCGAGATAATATAGTTTTGAAAGTTCTTTTCGTGGTTGAACAATTATACTCAACTAGAGAAAGCTCCAGAGATTCTATTGAAAATTTATAACATTATATTTGTATGTTATAGCTATGGTTTGCATAACTGTGCTCTATTGCAAATTTTATGTTTGTTATGGAGTTTTTGATTTGTATAATTCGCTAGATACATCCAAATTTATACAAATTGTTCAGTTTTGTATAAACTCATTTATACATTGTAATTTGTATAATAAGATCTGTATTTGTATAATTATAAGTGTATAGGATGAAAATATATGTATTTGTATTTGTATTTGTATATACACTTTTCTCTCGCTTTATACAAACACAAACATATTTTATACATTTGTATACCGAATGGGTAATTGTATACCGAAAATGACTAATTGTATATCGAACCAAATGGCAAAAAAATGAGATGTTTGCTGCGAATAACAAATAAAATAAACTATGACTATAACATTTAATTTGAATTAATAGTTTGTTATTTCATACAATTTTATATTACGTTACGTTGCCAACCATAAACAAGAATTATCAGAAATACTAAACAAGTAGTAAATAGAATTAAATGGATGTACCAACTACGAACCCTAAATGACAACCTAGTGATTAACTTAAAAAGAAAGAGCCAAAACTCTATCCAACAAAACTAGTCGTCATCATAATATTATTAAGCTGGTCTTCAAGGTCTAAGAAATCAGGCCAGTATGGTAGAACTTCTGCGACACTCACAAACCATATTCATGTAAAACTGACATTTGCTTAGGTCGCCTCCGTTGACATTGAAACACTGCAACAACGAAACACACCTTATTATCAATAGTTTTACCAATATTGGTTGGCTATTTGGATTCTCATCTTGTTAGTGAGGGTTCGATTCTCTGCTTTGTACCCTAATTTTATGAAAATATTAACTAAATACACTTTCTTATTTTACCACTATTTCAAAAATTCTCTATCATTTATACAAAAAAAAATCAAAAATCTATACATCTCTGATACATTCCTTCTATTTCTAATACATCTCTCTCCTATGTATCCAGATCCGGATGTGATATCCCTTTGTATCTGAAAGTCCAGTGATGTATGTATCCGAAATCCATAAATTTTAAGGAATTCTTGTAATTTGGAAAATAATAGAGAAATAATGTAATTAGTTTTTAACATGGAATTTAGGTAAATTATACTAATTTTACAGCATTAGCAAGCAAATGCAACAGAGAAGCTATAGGAAATTAGCATATATACATACCGCTTGGAAAGCTGTCATTGAGGCAGCACATGAAGCAGCTGAGGGGGCAGGATCAGCCACCTGAACCTCATGTTTAAAAACCCGAGGGCCTAACACGGCATCTGTTACCCTATGGCCAACTGCATTTCCGCTACCAAAGGCCATTCCTGTTTTTTACCACACCAAAATATGAGCATTGACATTGAGCATATACAAATTAACGCTATCAGAATCTCATGACCATGATTGATTTGGTTTTGTCGTAAACCTTTAGGTAAACCAATAGTTCAAACTACACTCAAAGGTAGGGCATTTTCAATTTTTATAGGAACTTCTGTACCAGAAACAATGCTATCAGAATCCGACTGTTGTCTATTTGAAGCAATTACTAACCATCGGTAAATGAGGAACCTAGACCTCCTGCTGCAGGTTGAGGTTGACTCTGTACAGGTGCTGGAGGAGGAGCAGGAGCAGCTGCAATATATGGGAACAAAAATTCCAAGTCATACAATAACAACGACATACACAGCGTAATTCTAAGTTATCAAAATATATAGTAATTTGAGGCATGCACTGCCAAAATTTTAGAAGGAATTAATGAGATGATGATGACTTGCCAGGCTTCGGCATTGGCGGATTCTTCAGTGGCTTGTCAGCAGCAAGACGAGGAGATGAGCGAGATTTTGACCATGGAAACCAACTTCCTGCAAAAGAAACTGTGTCATCTTTTCTTATCACAGCTTTTTGACACAACCTACATGCATGTTCATACAACTTTTTGGCGATAAAAGATACGAGAATATCAATTAATCTTTGCGAAAAAAATTGTTCCGTGTACCCAAGAACAATTTTGAAGTCATACTAAAAAGTTGAATCTCAAAATTTCAACTATGCCACATAAATCAAATTGGATGGAGTGTCTTTTAGTACTCCAATTAAAGAAGGCTGAAAGAAGCAAGTTAAAGGAAAAATAACACACATTCTTTTCACCTCAAAAGGAAAAATTAAGTGACGCCATTTTACATGGCATCCATGCACATAACGACTCGACCCTACAAACAGTTTGCAGTATTCAATCTACCTTTGCAAACCATGAGACTGAATATCAAATGTAATTCACTCAAAAAAAAAGGATATACATGTATATTCTACCAAAAAACCAATGATTACAGACCTCCGCCGCTACTACTACTTGATCTGAACCCACCACCACCACTTCGACGACCCATGATATTCAAAAGAAGAAATTTGAAAGCAAAAACTGGCTGTGAAAATGGCAGACTCAAGCTGAAGGGCTTGGGTTTATATAATGGAGTGGGGTTGGAGTAGCTTGAGGAACAAGATGGATTTCTATTGGCCAACACGTGGTGGAATTTTTCTTCTGCCACATTCATATTTTATTTTATTTTTGGATTATTTGCTCTTTTATCTCTATTTTGTAATTATCTTTAAAATTAATAATCTTTTCACATAGCTTAAGTTTATAATTCTATGCGAGTTATGGCTTGCATTATTTCGTTAGATATATGTTTGATTAATAAAAATTAAATATCGAGAAGCAAATCATGCAATTAAATGTCATAGATATTTTCTAATATATCCAAGATACTCCTGCAATCCAAATAGATACCTATAAAAGTCTAAACTGATCTAAATAAAAAAAGAGATGATATTTCGTCCGTTTCATTTTAAAATGAGAAGGAAGACTATTGAAACTTATGGTCTAAAACAATCTTTAGAAATTTGCATAGTTATAAAATATTTCATTAGAAGTAAAAAAAGAAATTTTGAAATTAAATTATTTTTAATTATAGTAAGGTAACATTCTGTATAAGTTTATGTGGTCAAGTTCTTCTTTTTGACTATATTAGTTCAATTCTTTTCATTCGATTTCTGATCATTTAAGAAAGAAAAATAGGGCCAAAATTAGGAGTATATATATAATATGTTGGACTGATTTTATTTGTTGTCTTTTCATACCAACTGAATGGATATAGAGATTCATATGGTAATTCTCAACTACGAGATTTGAGTGTATTTTATTCTTGTACGTAGCTACATATCATTAAATTATGAAGAGGACTTGCTAAGCTTAAGAATGTCCACTATGTTTCTCACTTGAACTTACATTTAAAGGTGTGTTTGGTATGAATGAATGTTTTTCAATTTTTTCACATCTAGTTTGATCAAAATATTTTAAAGGGGATTTTCTTTAAGAAAGCAAATTTCCTAAAAATGAGGAAACAAATTTCTTTAATGAAAGTAGGAAAAATAGGTTTCATAGACAATAAGTAACATTTCAATTTCATTGTCTCCTTACCACGCACCCACCACCCCTGAGCCTCCACCTCCGACCTCATCTCACCTTCATAGTATTTTGCTAGATATCATATAAATGCTTTTGGAATTTTTAAAAAAAAATCTGCTTACATACCGAACACAAAAAAATAAGTACTTATTTTTCAAGAAAATATCATTATACATGGAAGACATTTTCCTTAGCACCAAACACACCCTCTAGAGTTTCTTTGGCTTTAGGCTCAACAAGATTAACTTTTTCCTTTTCAACTTGCCTATTGTGCACTCACGAAACAGTATTCATTTGTTTGAACATTGGAACAGAAACGAGAAAACATAGTAATCCCACAGTTGAAAAACTACAACTCTGTCAACACAACTCAAAGTCTTCAACACAAATTTGGTCA